TGGATATAAGACATGAAGCAACACKAAGATTACTTGCTGCAGCAATGTTTTTCTCTTCTTTCTTCGTTATTTTTCTTTCCTTACTAGAAAAAATACAGGTTTATAGTCTCAGTCAAAGTGACAATTAATGGTCTCTTGGCTATCATCAAGTAGGTTTGTGCCTCTGTAGTTCCTCTGGGACTGAAGAGATGAACAGCTGTAAAACTGTTTGGTCATAACTGAAGTTTTTCCACTGAAGAAATTTTGCACCAGAAGGAGCCTTAAAAATCTTGTGATACATTATACTTTTCACAGGGAGAGTAATAAATATTTCCCATTGAAACATGTCTGACTAATGTGGCATTCAGATAATGTAGACATGATCCTTCTACTAAGACAAAGCAAACATTAGTTTAACTGGATGTAAGAACATGGCCAATCTGCTTGAGTCTTGAATGTCAAATCATTATTCATTATTTCCCAGAGGAGTRTTTTTAAGCCTTATTATTAAAAGTATTATCTTAAGAATGTGAATRGAAGAACAAAATGAGCTGTTCAAATTTGTTCTAAAGAAGCGAGGTTGAATTGTGACAATATTTTCTTTTATAATATTTCCTAATATCAGCRTGTAATGAAGTAAGTTCATGACATTCATGTATTTTATATTCTCTTTAAAAGCAAATGTAGTTAATACAAAAATCTGATTTCAATGTTTGTACTGTGTTTAAGTGAYGTATGATTTATCCTTAATGCTCAGCTCAACTTTCTGGCAGGAGCTTTGACCGCATCCTCCTGCCTGTAGTGCTGCTCTGTGTGTGAAACCCTTTTTTTTCCCTCCAGCTTGTCAGAATTTTTAAGGCTTTCTAGCAAAAACATACTAGGTAATTTTTAATGTAATGGAAACAAAGCTTTTTAAGGAGACCAGCAAGAATGTAGCCTACCTGGCGATACCACAGATGTTGCTTGCATCTCTGAACTTGTAGAGATGTAAAAACAGATGCCGTGGTAGGGACTCACTGACATGTGGATAACCTCATACCACAGTAGGATGGCACAGAATGTCTTAATAAAAGAGAATGATTCATGTTTGGTCGAAGGCAAGCCTAGATGTACCGAATGACTGGAAAGATAAATGCTTTTGTTATGAAGAAGTGTTTTGGGAGGAGTAAGGACATGTGCATGCATACTCACCGATCAGATGGCATTTCCTAAAAATGGAAAGATTTGCAGTAGGCTCCTTGGTCACATGTAGGGTGAGCAATGTTCAGCGGTACCATCACAAACCAGTTGTCAGTGAGGGGTATTGGAGAAGGAGGTAGCTCTGAGATGCCTTTGCCACAGGTGCTAGTGGCTAGCCAATGTTCCTAGGAATGTTTTTTCATTTCTACCTTTCATTTCTTTTCCTCTCCAAAGTCATTTCAATTTTACAGAAAAGCTAGGAGATCTCAATTAAACTCATTGTACCTCTTGAGTTTTAAGAAAATATTTGTAACATAGGTAATATCTACCCATTAATTTCGCTCCTTTTCAAGAAAGTTATAATAAAATATGTATTCAATATGCATTCTAAGTTGTGCTTGTACACTTAAATAAGGCTAACATAGTACATAATCTTGCTGTCAATCACTATCTATGTGTCAGTTCTACCTGTAGTATCTGGAAGGATTGAGAGAACTAGGCAAATAGTGACATATCTTTTGATCTAAGGTTTTTCACTTGAGCTTCATTATGGGGGATACAATATTGAGAGGGGCCGTTCTGCAGCATGCCAGTGTCAAGCTCCAGCATGATCACCTTCCTTCTGAGGATGAAATGAGGCAGGGAAAGAATGAACCTCTGTGTGTGCAGCATTGGAGGAGAAGACCCAAACATTTCTGTGGTGTCTCTGCAATTACCCAGGTGGGCAGGGGTGCAAAAGGGAACTGGTACAGCCAGTTGGGTACTCACTTGGGTCATTGCATCTGTGGGAGCATGCAGCACTTTTTATTGTGAACATGGGGTCAGAGGGAAGTCATCCATGCCACCTCTCCCATATTTCTTGTTGTGTGTTATGTTCAGCTAACGAAGTTCAGAAGGTGGAAATGGTTGGAATTCTAAAAGTATTTGAAGAAACCAAGGAAATAAATAACAAGTAGAAAGGAAAACCACAGTAAAATTWAAAAAAAAATAATAAAATGAGGAGGAATGTTTCAACTTGAAACGTGATGACTGCTATCTTGTTCTTTCATCTTATTTAATTGCATCACATGGTATAAAAAAGGTTAAATAATGTACCTTAATGTGAAAATGTATAGACATCAGTGGATATAAATTGTTGTAACTTCAGCAGAATTGCATTCATGTATTCTGCATTCAGATCTAATTCTTTTCTTCCTCAAGTTTGTCTACAAACTTATCTATAAATATTCTTAGATTAAGCTATGTAAAATCTTAAAGCCATTTWAAAAAAATATTGTTCCAATATCCTGTATTTTGTACTGTTTGTTCCCCATCAAATGACATACTGAGGGTTTTTAGGAGATAATAATCCTCAGCAGGGAACASTGTCCAGGAAGTGAGTAGGAAAGCACATCTATAGAAGAAACAAAGAACAGCGGGTTACTGGGAACTAGACTTCAGGGAAATGCCTTAATGGCAGAAGCCAAGATATTACTGACTGGTATGTAATAAACTCCTTARCAGAAAATAGTTTGGGGAGAAAAGGTCCCAGAACTGTAATATTGCAGTAAAAATAATTAATCAATTCCTTCAAATAAAGAACTGCTTTCACTTCTAGATACTGATGTGAGAAGTAGTATTTCAAGGAGAAAAAAACGAATACACAATGACCCTTCCCATCCCTCATCCTAAAGCAAAAATTTTATTTCTCAGGTTGGTAAGGCTGTGTGGAATCTCTGGCAGTATAAAGAGAGGGGTCGCACCTTGTGTGAGAAGACATTTCCTAAGCTGTATTTCCTGATAGGAAGGTAACATCATTTAAAAAAAAAAAAAAAAGTGTGGAGAAGGATAATTCTTCATTACATCAGTATAGTTATGTACTGAAACACTTCTGACAGTATTAAAGTTRTATTTCTCTTCTATTTTTCATTTTTTGGTAATGCAAAAATATTAAAATGAAATATATTCAGGAGAAAGGGATGACATTGGGAAAAAGCCTCTGTTTTTAAGGCTGCCAAAGGCCTATGATTCAAAAGGACTCTTTCGAGCCAATTTTCCAGAGGCCTTTCACAAATGACCCCCTAAGGAGCTCACTGCTGGAAAAGGCGTCTAAAAACCCAAGAGCTTATTTAGGTGGCAGGGTATATAATGTTTTGGTCTTTTATTTCCAGTGTCTATCTATCTTGAAGTTTCATTTTAGATGACTAGGAATATGTCTGTGCCTTTTCGCTGTCGACCATAACAGCCCTGGCCAAGGGAGCGACATATGTCCCCTCATCTGGGGGCCTGGATGTGCAGGAGCTGTGTGAGGCATCGATCATCTGCAGGCTCTGATGCCCTCGGTTGTTCCCAAGCCCAGACAAGACTGGATGAACCACGTTGTGCTTTCTGTTGTTGTTCTCAGTGAGCAAAGCTTGACCATCTCAGAGTTGTAAAGGGGCTTGGTGCTCTGGCCCAATGGGCAGTTCTGGCCTTATTTTAATGTGTTTTTGTGTTTGTGCAGCTGTGGGAATCACTGTGTGGGAATCCCCTGTGACTGGTGGACGAGGACACCACCTCGAGGGCTTGTTTCTCACCTGTGTGGAATGAGAATTGCCTYGATCACCTTCCCTCTCAACCCCTTGGAGGCCTCTACAAAAACTGCTCTGGAAGAGCAGGGAAATACTAGTTCACAGAGGAGCTAAGCTTAGCTCAGCAGAGTCGGGTACTTGGAGATTCTCTAAATAAACATGCCATAGAAACAGTGTTCTTTTTAGAGAGCTTATTCTTAGAGTACTTATTATTTACACTTTTAGGTATAAGGTTTTCCTGTGTTGTGTAAAAGTTGCCTGGTAATGCTGGCTTCAGGTGCCCTATCAAGCTTTTATGGATTCCGGTGTTTTTGCTGGTCATTTCCTGTTATTTTTCACTTGTGACTATTCAGCACGGTATTTCATGTTAAATTATCTACTATTTCAACCTTTTTTGATCTTCATTTCCATCCTGTTTTGCAGTCCTGCGATGGTTGTTTGTTTCCAGTGCCATCAAATTAGAAATCTTAATGGAGGATAAAAAAGATTCATCAGCTAAACCTCAGGAAAAGTTTTATAGCCTAAATCTCAGGTTATAGGTAGACCTACAAGGGAGACTTTGTACGTTTATCGAACCCTACGGGCAAAGGAGAAAATTATTGAGTTAGAGCAATCAAGAGAAAAACAGAATATATATTCTTTGTATTTGTGCAATGTAACGATAATATGGCTTTCTCGAGGAAGTTGCGTGCGATTTAAATTTGGAAGAAAAACACTTGTCTGGTTAAAAAGAAAAAAGGAGAGAGGCAGAAAGCATAYGTGTGTGGGCGTTCATGTATATCTGAAGGTTGTTACAGCTCTCCAAAGCAGGTTGATTCATCTATAAGGAAGGACAGTGAGATTTGCTTTCTAGAAAAAAAAAAATCCTGATGACTTTCCTTTTTTCTTTTCTTTAGACTTTCACCCACTTACATGATGATGATCACTCTGATGAGAAACATGTTGTACTTTCAGAATGTAAGAAAAAGGGCATAACTATAGGACCTGTCTGAAAATTATATCAAACGATGAGAGAGGGTAAAAATTGGCTAAAGGAARCTAGAGGTAGGTTGCACTGGGTGAATACAGCAAGATGGAAACAAGTAGTGCAGTCACAACTAGCTATGAAAACATTCCAGGGAATAAGACAAATTGGGAATCAGCAGCAAAGGATCTCACGAAGATATTGCAAAGTATAAACAAAGAATCTAAGGAGAAATACCTTTCTAACCACATCCAGAAACAAATATTTTATAAAACAGTCAAAATTGGTACTCAAATAGACTGAACAATACCTACTTAGTGAAAGATACATTTTATTATAGTCTTACAGCAGTTAATACTGATATGTCTGAGTTATACATTTGCTCATTGTACATTCTGTATATTTCCAAAGTACAGGTCTGTAATATTGGAAGCAATGAAAATGGTATTCCAATTTTGTACTCTGGGCATAATTGTCAGTGGAAAATAGATAGAGGAAGAATATTACAATATGAATATATATTTTTGCTCAATGCAGACATACATGCAGCCTAGAACTAATCATTTACTGAGATGCTTTTAAGCACAACCAACTAGACTAAGTAATACAGTTTGTAAAGCTGTACACGTCTGTGTACTTGAAAGCCTAACTTTTTTCAGTTTATTTTGTACTGAGGCTCAAAATTCATGATATTTGGCTACATGGAATAAGGGACAATAAATCGGCTTTTATGCTGTTGTTTAGAAACCCATATAGGATGGGATTCAGGCAGCAAGACATCATACCCAGTAAATGACATATACAATATACTAATTTAAAATGTCTGTTAGAAATGAGATTGGCGTTAAAATCTGTAACAACATGGAAAAGGTGAAGAGGCATCCAGCTGAAAGCAAAAACTAAGATCAACACTGTCAGTCTACAGAAAACTCTCCTGGATTTTGTCTTGATTCTGATGATGGATCGGGATACTGTAATCATGTCCTGGATCTCCGTATTTTCTTTGGGCTTCATCTCAAAACAGATGGGTACCCCTGGGATGAACTTACTGGACGAAGAGAGCTGGCTTTTTTCTGTGCAAGAGCTTTCTGGGAGCTCCCTGAAATGAGAGTCCTGGTGGTGCCTCAGAATAGCTGGCATCACGCTCGAAGTCTTCCTGCTGTACCTTTTGTGGTGCTTCCTGATGAACGCGCAGCTCCATCGGGACCGGCTGGAGGGCTGCGCCTGGGCGCTGGCGCTCTTGGATGGGTTCATGGCCAGGTTTATCATCTCCTTTTCCTCGAATTTGCTCTCGGCGTTTGCCAGCCTGGAGCCTATGCTCCTGCAGACGCTGGTGTGGCTGGCAGTTAGGCATACCAAAGGCAGGATGTACTGCATGAGGAGCAAGGATATCGTAAAGGCAATTCTGTAGGAGTCAGAAGGCCATGACTCGATGCACAGAAACCTGCCCGCCAGTGCCTCTAAATTCAGGGTTTCACTGAGATCTACAACTGTGTGGAAAAAGGGCAGAGGGGAGCAAATGGCACAGCCAAAGGCCCAAATGGCTGCTATCAAGACATAGCCTTGCTTTGCTGTTAAATTGCTGGAAAGGGGATGTTTTATCATCCGGTATCTGACCACAGCGATAGACATTAACATTAAAGTGGAAACCAGAACAGAGGCGCATTGGAGGAAGGGCATGACGTGGCACATTAGGGTGCCAAACATCCACTGGTCGAGCAGGACAGAGGTCAGCGTGAAAGGAGAGCAAAACAGCACGACCAAGATGTCCGAAAAGGCCAAGCTGCCAATCAGGATGTTGATTGTTGTCTTCTGCTTGCGTTTCATCAGAGCCATCAGTATAAAGAGATTCCCCATAAAGCCAGCCAGACTTATAAATGTGTACAGCCCAATGAGAAAGTATTGTATGTCATCAACACTGCTCTTGTAATCCTCCCAGGCAGAAAAGCTCCTTGCAGTAGCAGAGGTGTTCTTGGTAGGTGTCCTGTTGTTATGGCCTTTGAATCCCAAATCCATATTCTAGTCCTGCTTGGAAAAAAGAAAGGCATTAATTAGCGACTGAAGGGAAGTTGATGCTGCTGTTAATATAAATATAATTAAGCATAATTTGATCTTGTATCACCTTAAAGCAATTAAATTAATAGCAGTGTGAGGCAAATCCTGCAAAACTGCGTGCTAGTGCAAGATAATTTCATAGGTGGCATTCAGCACGCTTAGGCCTCCGTACCTGCCTGCCCTTATCAAGCGAATACAATTCATGGGTCTGCATTATGAAGCTGGCTTCTAACTGTGTTTTGCTGTAGGCCAAATTTGCTATTTGCATATGTAACAATGTTTGGCTATTGCTAACCTTGCCATGAGTGAGCAGCTAGTCACAAAAGCAATCCATTTAGAGCTGGTGAAATTACTATTGGGAATAGCAGCTCGTTGATCTGGCTAAGGAAATTCAGTATCACCATCTGGGCCGRTGCCTAATCATTATGTGACAACAAACTTAGATGGGAGCTCCAGAAAAATTATGTTATTTTGAGATACAATAAAAGCTACAGTATTACATCTTACCTTGCTAGTTTAAAAATAAATAAATAAATAAGATAAAACATTGAGGAAGTTTCAAAAAGAAGTTTCTAAGGGATAGCTACTGTCCCATATGGCCCATTTCCAAGGGTGAAATTCCAAATCATCCAAACCATCTTCTCTTACTTTGGAAAATAATGCTGAATATAACCGTGAACATCCCTACTCAAGCAGAAAACAAAATTACAATTGCTTAAAAAATATCCAAGCCAAATAAATATATAGAACTGTATGCAGCTGTATGTTAAATTACAAAACCTGTCTGTTTTGAAGTTTCCAAGTCAAAAGCCTCCAAGGCACACCTAGCAGCTACAGAATTGCTTAAGGCTTGGAAGTCTTGAGCAGGACAATGCAAAAAGGCCCCCGAAAATCCAGAACACACTTAAGATGAGCAGAAAGATTTTCACTGTTCATTCTAGCTGCCAATGAGCATGACCTGAAGTCATTAGAACTGAAGTCAGTGACTTGTGAAATCAGCTGAAATAAAGTTATTTCCGTTTGGTAAGTCTAAGTTAGCATAATTTGTGTCCAAATGCTCTAGAGGGCTCTTCTCTGGAGAAAATACATAATTCCCTCCTTCARGTTTATGGAATTATATGTACATTATGTAATAACTGCAACACGTTTTTTTTCTTTATTCAGCATGGAGAATTTTTTTGCTACGATTGATGCTTTGTGGATCTCAGTGTGTGCATGTGCCTGTAATCTGCAGGCTGTCTTTTGGTTTTCATAGTTTTTCCCAAAAACTTAAAAAATTGCAAGGTGGATCTATTGCTCTCCAAACTTGCTTGTAGGGTACAAATTGCTCTCTCAGCATGAACATTTCTGGAAGCAAGCTCCAGGTACTATTTCCTCCCCATATTGCTCATCTTCACTCCCCAGTCCTAGCACATCACTAATTTCACAGGGCTCTCTGCACTTCTTGGTGTGTATTTTCCTGTTTTAACTGATGCTGTTTTTTGACTCTTTCATACTCCCTCTGTCACTGGGTCAGTCTTGGTGTAACACRTAATATATTGCTTTCAGAGGAATGAAGACCCCTGAAAATCCCATGTAGGACCTAGAATGGAATATTATAGCCTCTTTTGAAAGCGTTGTTCTCGTATTTAGCAATATAACTGTATTGCTAAACTGGATGGTAGTCACTACAGTGATTGCAATTATTTAGGAATTTAGGAATCAGATTTAATTAATCTGGAGATTGGAGATTTTCTAGCTACAAGCTCCAAGAGTCAGATGGCTTTCCTCCTCCATGCATCAGTCAATATGATTTCCCCAAGATAAGTGAGGTTCCCTTTCTATATTTCTCTGTGTGCGTTCTCTGAGGCTCTGCTCAGTTACAGCTGCATGAGCTCGCACCCTGTGAGCTTTTAATGTGTTTGCTTAGGTCTCCTTAATTTCTATATGGTGCACACATAGGAAGATAAGATGCAGGATATGGGAGTGACTGCAGCAGAATCCAAGGTAAATAGGAAAAGTTATTGTGAGAGTCAGATTAATCGAATGAGCATTAAGCCCAAGGAATATTTGTGGTTGCTTTTTACATTAAAATGGAATTTTTGACAGCTAATCTACCACAACCTTGAAGGATTTTAAGAAACACCTCTTTGAAACACATTTGTCCTTGACGCACCTCAAGTTATTCTTTTAATCCTGTAACACTTACTRTAACCAAAATACTGCTTCAGAGGAGTTCTCAGCTGCAGTTCATTTAAGGCCTTGAGAGCAGCAGAGGGATCTTAAATGCTTACTCAGTTTTAGCTGAGTTAAGGATAGCAGATAACTTACAATGTGCTAGTTAAATTCCTAAGATTCATTTCATTATTTTTGTGAAAAGCCTTTACTTTATGTAAAAAAAAAAAGTCCATTTACAAGGGTGAATAGGCTGAATATTTCTTCATTTTCTTCCTTGCATATTTAAAATTTAAATGGAAAGTTTAGCAGGCTCCATTGCAGGCATATGTGCTTTCAGAAGAAATTCCTCTTGTTAGATGAGATACTTATATTAGGATTTATTCATGGATAAGAGCTTACATGCTGCATTGCTCGTCCTTATTAAGTCAATTCTAACTGGCTGGTGCCTGTGTCATCTAGTCTGTTCAGTGTGTGYAATAGTGTCCATACAGGACTGTTAATCTTCACTGCTGCTGTGAACAATTTACAATCTTATTCCTTTTTCTTTTTTTCTTTTTAACTTAAAATACAAATAAAGACAAATATATATGAGGAGGAAGCAAAACATGAGAATTCTCTTAAATACACAGTCTCCCTTCTCTTCTCCATACACTGGCATGGTYGCAGGGCTGTGAAGGAAATGAAGTTAGAGATGATCTGTTTTAACTTGTACACCACTCTAAGCAGTTACGCCAATAATTTACAGCATCATAAACTTAATAGCATAACATGAAGTTAGGCTGTAACTAAGCTTATGCACCAAGCTATGCGGTTACTACTCAAGAAATGATGCTCTTATGTCGTTAAAGACAGATAATGTCTGAGCTGGAGGACACCACTGAAGAGTCCCCTTCTCCTTGCAGACTAAAGATCAACTGCTGCTGCTTTTGAGAGGCTCCCGTGCTTTACATGCAGCAGCAAAATGCTTATCTGAGTACCCTGGAGATTTCAAAAGCCTGGCAATACTTGAGGAGCACAGGAGAGGGGTTTTCATGCATGTTAACGGCATGTCTCTTTATGTGGCTAATTATAAGGAGCATTACAAGGTTGTCCTGGAAAACAAGAATATGGCTTCCTAGGGTAAGCCAAAATCAGCTAATAAGATTATTTGTCCAGAACTATAGAAATGTGATGCAAAGGTAATGGGGGTGTTTGTTTGCCGGAAAAGAAAACTTAAAATGTATGACTAAAATGTGCACGGAGCGATGCAAAGGCTTGCAAAGCCAGAAGAGAGAAGATGTGGATATTTTCCCTTCTGCGGCTCGCCGGGGACCCCGAGGCACCACCGGCCCCGTGCCCACGAAATGCAGCAGCSCTGCAAGGCGCTCCGTGCCCTGCAAGGCGCTCCGGCGGGATRTGACGGGGCGGGATGGGAGAGCGGGAGAGGCAGGCAGAGGCCGGACACATGGAGCCKCTGCGCGAACCGTTTGCCCCCTGGGAGGGCAGAGCCCGGGTGCCCCCGTGGCCGCTCCGTGCCCGCCTCCACTGGCCACCTCACCTGGATGTCCTGCCCTGATCCGCTTCCTGCTCCCGGTCCTGGTCCTGCTCCAGCTCCGTGTGGCTGCTCCGGGGCTGCCTCTCAGACGGCTGGAGCTCTGTGGAGCATCTCAGCGGGAGAAGGAGGAGACGCCGGGGGCAGGTGGCAGCCCCGCGTGCTCCCCATCACTGCAAAGGGCTCCACGGCCGAGCACCCACGGCAGCTCCCGTGGAACAGGCTGGCGGCAGCGGCATCCATCGGGCCGCGGAGCCCGTGGTCCCTACGGAGGCAGGAGGGAAGCGGCGCCGGGCGAGCGGGCGCATCCCAGCGTGGGGGCTGGAGCCGGCCCCCTCGGYGCTGGTGGGAATGCCTGCCCCTCATCCGCCGGTGGTCCCGCGCGGGGCTTCACCCGCCGGGCGGGCGCCTTTCGGAGCCTGGTATTTCAGCACTACGCGCTACGACAACTATAGTTTCCATGGAAATGTAATGATACTATAAACAAATCCCACACTCACCAGTATTTAAGGGAAGCTGTCCGTTTCTCACCCTGAATTCAGGGCACGGTGATCTGCAGTGGGGGGATGCTCTTGAGGCTGTTGCGGGACATTGGGAAGTCTGAAAATAGGCAGGCGRTCACAGGGGACTGGCCTGAGTGCCCTTCAGTCCCATGCACCGTGTCCGGAGCCAGGCTTCRCCAGCATTCACGTGTGGGGAGGGCTCTTTATGAACATCCTTTAATTTTTAACGTGCTTTAARGCAGCTGGGAGGTGATGGGCTCCCCGAACTCTATTCCTTTTCAGAGCCGAATAGCTCCGCTCTCGCAGAGGCGAAGACCTGAAGGGCGGTTTTAATTTGGTCAGGGCTGTCAGTGGGAGCGCAGGGCGTTTTCAGGCGAGCAGTATTTCAAAGTGCAAGAACTGTTGGGTATGTTATAGGATAAAAGGTTAAAAGACAAACTCTGCTGTTCACACCAGCTGCTATCTTCCAGTGAGAGAAGTCTCATTGATCACTGTCCAATTATAGCCCTGCCGGAGAAGCGAGTGACAGGCCTCCGGGAGCACAAGCGACACGAAAATGCAATGTCCTTGCTCTTTGCCAGCGTGCTCCTTACACTCCTGGTGCCAACGCGGGGCTGGAGCAAAGCTGTCGATACAATTAGCCTGCAGAAAATTGCACCACACAAAGGCAGAACAGCTGCATCCCCGTGTCATAAAGTAACTTTGGAGCACTGACAGTCCAGCTAGGATCTGTATTTAATTTCTTTTTTTTTTTTTTTTTTTTTAGCTACCTGTGCTGTTTAGGTTAAAGGCTGCGGGAACACTTAACCCCAGTCTGCAGCGGATGAGCTCAGCGTGATGAGGAAGGTGGCATCCCGGCTTCTCCTTGCCCGTTCCGGCATTATTCGCCACCCACTGCTGGTGAATCACGGCGCGTGCAAGCGGGCGCGGGGAGCTGGCGGGTGGACTTGACGTGCCAATCCATCGCGTCACACTAAGGCAGCTCTCAGTCTGTTAGTCACAAAGGAGAGCAAAATTAATAATCCTGCACAGGGCTGAGCAGCAGCTCTTAGCCTTTGCGGCCATTTCCCCTCTCACACCGATGGCTTTAAAGCTTTTCACACAAATATAGAAAGACTGAAACCTTCCCTCGTCCTAACCTGCTGTGCAGGGCACTAGGAGTCACATTTCCCCAGGCCCAGAATCAGCTGGGTGCCCTGTATTCCAGGTGCGTTTCCTGCATTGCTTGCAGGTCTGCTTGTTGGACTAAAAGATCCTAGAAAGTACAGTCTAAAGGAGGTCTTCAGGACACTGTATCTTTCTGTGGAAACTTACAGTTCCAAAAAAATGACATTCTTTAAAAAAAAAAAGAAAAACTTAAAAAACCCCATAGAACTAAAAATAAATAGTTTGCTGAGAGAGCYTGCAGATGGAAAAGTGTAAGAAATTGTGGGTTCTTATACCCTATTGCTGTGAGTTCTGAGGGTTACACTGTAACAGCCAACCCCCATGTCAGTCATTTCTGTGACAGGTCGTYACCTACTGCATTTTCCCAAGCAACATCCATACAGAATTAAACAGTTCTTAGCAAGAGCTGCTACTAAGACAAGTGTTTCTTTCTTGCTTTCTTGGTCATCCTCTTTCAGAAGAGTTCATCAATGAGTAATATACTGGCAGGTGTAGGGTTTTTTGTTTGGTTGATTGGGTTTTTTTGTTTGTTTCTTTRTTTTTTTCTTCACCCCGACCTGCAAATAACAACAAATGTTTCTTAACAGTCTTTGGACAGTTCATTGATGCTACTTGATCACAGCAGAGGCATAGTTTTACTTATGCCACTGATGTTTTTTTCCTCTTCATTGGTTGGGTACCTCTGACGGCCAGGATCACTCACTACTGAATACAGAATAGGTGACCTGGAGACAGGAAAAGGTAGGACTCAGGACTGACACAGATAGAGGTGGGAAAGAAAAAAAGTGTATTAGGGAGAAAGTCTTGGATGAGAACAGCACAACGGAAAAAATAGGAGAGGACTCCGTCACCTGTGAGAATTAATTTGGGCATTTTTCTTATCATATTCCCTGAAGTAGCTTTCTTTTGGGAGTATTATCTCAATAGTTTATCTCCATAGTATCTAAAATTTTAAATAACCAYTGTCCAAATTCCACAACATACATTCAGTCACCCTGAGTCAAAGCCTACCATGAGTCAGTCTAATGTTATTATAAAATGGAGTGGTTATTTATCAGCAAGACCATCTAAAATGGAAGGACACGGCTAAAAATAGTATGAGGAATTTTTTKGGGTCCATAGAAAGTATTCCTGTTRATTGCTTTTTTTCCCCACACGTCAGTCCAACTGCTCATTCCACACATGTACAAAGTACTATTAAAAATCCCAGTTAGGTTTTGCTTCTCTAGATGTATATTTGCTGCATCTCTTTGTAGGGTCTTCTTAACTTCTCCATTAAGCAGCTGACATGAATGCAAAGAGCCTTGGACTACTGGAAAGGCAGSAGTGCCTGAGATGTCTTCTCAACGGAGGGCATCTGAGGACAGAGCAGATCATTTTTGTAAGAAGGGCTCSTGGTACCTACCAGCCTGAAACCTGAGTGGATAGAAAGCAGGTGGGCTATAGCTGTATGAAACATATTTTTTTATCTTCGGTATTTTAGGCACATGGACAAAAGTTATGTCTCAAGAAGTCTTCAAGTAACGTTGCATGTCATGAGGCTGGTGTTAACATGGTTAGCTTGAGTGTACTGTGGAACTGCAGCAGGGACTGGCCGCGCAGTTATTCCTGCAGTTATTCCTGCAGCTTATTGGGATTTGCAACATTGACGGCCAAACAAAGTGTAGTTCAGTCTGGTGTCAGCTGCAGGTTGCTGCTGTATGGACCTGCTCTTACCCACACKGAGAATTTGATGCTCTTCTTGTTGATGTCAACAGCAAAATGCCCAGTTGGTCTATTCATGACAGAATCCAGCCCCAAGGAATGTGAATTCCCTTATAGTGATTGGTGTTATGTAAATACATTTCAGTGGTACTGAAGATCACTTCTACAAAATGAAAGCAACACAAATAAAATTAGAAAGACTCTTCAGAGTGTGTTTCCACTCAAAATACAATTGCCTTTTCAGTTTGTCATGTGTACAGAAAAAAACAGATACAGCTCATGATGTTCTTTGACTTTGTGGATTTTAAGTAAGTTACAGAGGGATTATATTATTGGAGTATGTGATAATACGTTATAGTGAAAGTGACAGCCTTGTTTGGTGACATCTTTTCTTTTACTGTTTGGAGAGTTACAGGAGAAAATATTTTAATCGACTGGTCTCTTGGCATATTTTTTTCTGTGTGTTTCTTTCCCTTTTCAATGCTACTGCTTCAAAGAAGCTCTATTGTCTTTTACTCCTGCTGTTCTATTTCATTAGCTAAAATACTTCTATTCTGTTTATTGCATTTATTCTCTTTTTGCAATTTGAAATATGCCTTCACACAAAGACACTGCACCCACAAACAGTCTTACCGCACAGGGTGCCTTTGATCAGCTGAAATAATTTATTCCAAGGAAGAAGATAATATACTTTGCTATCTTGCAAAGTGTTCTTGTGCCTTGCTGTGGTTAGGAGCAGAAAAGAGCTACAGAGGAAGTATTTAACATCTTTGTGAGCTTAGTGCTCCACCTGTAATACAATACTGCTGAGAATGGAGATGCCCAGAATAGCTAAATGAGCTGCTAAAATCTGAGTTTCCTTGAGAACCTGCTTGATACTGTGCAGCTGTTACCTCACAGCATGCATTTTATACGGCTATAATAGAAAAAGGTTGAAAAGAATATGTCTCGCTTTATTAAAATGATCATGTATTAGTTATGTTTGTATTTGTTATTCTAGTGCTCACATGTAAGTGAAGTACTCCAGAAATGATGGGTATAGCTCCACTAGATTCAAACATCTAAGGTGATTACACAAAGCAAGATGTTAGTGTGACAGSACAGGATCCTTGTGTTAAAAATAGGATTATAGCACACTATTCTTTAAAGGAATGCTTAGGCTCCAAAGTTACTGAATTAACTTAATGGTTAAGCATCAGCTTTGACTTTTAGAGGTCAGATGCCTCTTTAGAAGTCCTACCTAAACCTGTTTTTGTTAGATCTGTTGGCATTATCATAGGATAGATATGGGGATGAGAAAGATGATGACCCTGTAATTAAAATTCAGGACTTTTGTTACCAAGTACCCAGTGTCCTGGGCTGACCCACTGCTGGAGACCAGACTTTGTGACTTGGGCAGCCCTTGTCATTGCTCCACTGCTCTGCTTAAGGCCTGAGCTTGCAGGATGAATAACACTATGAGCTTCTGGTAATGCCTGTGTGAGTTCAGGTCTTTGAGTGGCAGATGGGATCCCATCTTCAATCTCTATATGTGAGAAAGATATTTATATATTGCAGTATAAAAAAGGTATTGTGAGATACCCTTAAAATGTATATATGGGGTAATAATTCTCCTTTTCATTAGTGTCTTGGATAGTTCATTGTCCATAATCAGTGACAATCTTTAGTTTTGCATGTCCTAAAACAGCACTGGTTTAGACTAGACTGTGCTCTTTTGGGGTTCTTCTGCTTTTTCTTCGATCTTCGGGTTTACAGCTTTTCTCTGCTCAGATGGAAACCGGTGCATATGGACAATCYGCAGAGCATTATATACAGCCTTCAGTAACCTCCTGCTTGCTGCTGTTAAAATGTCAGCGGTGCCCAAGCTACTGGTGTAGAGCAACCTTGAGATACGCCTGCRTTTTCCTTTCTCACAGCAAGGGCTGCAGCTTAAGTATACTTGAACTGAGCTCCTAGAAAAGCAGGATAAACACAAAACTCAATGCAACATTCTGAAATCCTGCCATAAAGCTCATTCTGCAAAAAATATTACAGTCATATATTATGTGCACCTGCTTTTTTAGCAATAATTAACATGGCTCCTCTCTTGAGAGTACCCAGTGACATAACAGAGTATTGTCATATAGTAGAGGTTTGCCTGAAGACAAGAAAGCAAGAGATTCTTACACTTGAAAAATTAATCTGGAGCCTTGGAAGACTTAGGACTTAGTGTTTTCTAAGCATTCCAATTTCTTAATATAGCCTGAGGGTTTTGCTAATTATAATGTTTTCAAAGTRCTTTTTAATAGACATGGGTTTATCTGAATAGCTTCTCTTGGACTTCTGTATTGGGATCCAGAGCCACTGCTTTTTAMACCTATTAAAGCAGAGCTGCTGCAGCTCTTAATAAGTGAGAGAGAATGAAGGGAACATAAAATTAGTTTTTACTTTTTATGAACATGTTCACTAAATAGTGGCAGTCTCAAACTATGCTCTCACAGCTGGTAGTAGTTTGCAGAGCTACTCATGTCAGCTGTATTAAAAAGTCTGGCTGCTGAAAACTGTGTTTTTTTATATGAACAGGAAGAGCTAGCCAAGGCTAACCTGCTCGGCATAATTTTATGAGGATTTGTTCTTTACTTTCAGGTGCCCATTCTCTTCCCAGGTTCCTGGAATATCCCAGCGGTGAGGACGAGCCTGCAGAAATGCCTTCCTTTTTCTGTGGCTCATATAGTCTGATGAACCACTTAGCTGCAATGAATCAGAACAACACCTGCAGAGGGACACACTGATGGTTGTGTTTTCTTCAGGTTKGATACTTTCTTGACTTCTAAATAGTTTCACATTACTTCTGATTGGAAAAAAATAGTAAGAGAAGCAATTCTCATCAGGCCAGTCATCACTGTTCATGACAAATACAGGACATAAACAAGTTGTACTGGTTTAAAAGGCCAAAGCAGAACTTTAGAACTTGCTCCTTGTAGTTAAAACCGCCTTCTGCTCCACTTTCCAAACAGGTTTTATTTAATATCATCTCCTCCTTGGCCACAAGGTGGCAATAACTTKCAAACAAAATGCTGAAGCAGCCACACAGCAATTTGAAGCTGTCTCCCTTCCTGAGCTTTTCTCTGTGCTCTTCCCCCTCCTCTTTTGTTTCAATATTTAATTGCATTTATTTCTGAATTACTAGGCAACGCACCCCCAGATGTGTAATTTAGAGGTGATGCGCGTGCAGTCAGATCTGCAGACTCTGCTCAGCAGGCTCTGCTCAGCAGAACACCATCATGTGATACTGGGATAAGGTGGAGTTCGGCTTTAAGGGGGAGTCTCCAGCCTTCCCCACCGATCTTTAGGATCTGAGCTGGAGGAATAGCAGAGGCACCTTCCCGTTTCCCTGCTCCCTGTTCTCCATCCACCCTGGTGAGCCAAGCCCAGAGGAGAGCTAAGGCAGGCAGAGCGATTGCAAGGTGAGTTTCTCCCGTGCCTGCTTTCCCTGACCTAGTGCAGGCTGGTGAGCGGCTCAGGCTGCTGCTCGCTTGCTCCATTAGGTGCAGATGACAAAATCCCAGCGAAGGGGAGGCTTCAGGTTGGACCTGTGAGTGCTTGGGAAACCTGTCAGCTTGGGCTGAGACCGTCTTGTGCTTTCCTTTGGATAGTTTCTGCAGTGTCTCCCCGGACACCTCACACCGCTCTGCTTTTACCCTTTTGATCCCTCGACGTTAAACTTTTGTTGAAAACCGTTGCGGAGGCTCGGGCGGCTGTGCGCGTGCTGGGAGAGGCTGCGCAGCCCCTGGGCTCGTGGGGGGCCCGTCCCCAGCCTAAGCCCCAAGCTTGGGGTCTCTGGATATGGAGTCTCTCCCTCCTGCCTGGGGAGCTGGTGCCGTGGGCGACAGGGAGGAGCTCGGCTTTCTGGGAGAGGCACCCCTGTCCCCTCCTGACCTGCAGCCCCTTTCGGAGGGGTGGGCAGGGAGGAAGGATTTCCCATCGCTTGTTGTTGGCACTGCTTTTCCGAGCTGGTCCCCAGCAGAGGTCCAGGTTTTCTCTCTGCTCTAGGGGACAGGAGAGGGAAGAAGGAGCATCAGTATTTTCCATTTCTGAGTTTGATATCTAATACATAACCAGGAACAGAGCTGGGCTGAGGGAAAACAAAACCCAAAAGGCGGAAACGTAGGCCTGAGACCTTGCTGGTGCCAAAGAGGTTGCAGCGTGTGAGAGACCCTTCCTCTCCCCTCCCTGTGCTGCCCTTTGCCCATCCCGTGCCTGGCAGCATCCTGTTCAATCCCAGCGCGGACCCGAGTGCCCCGTGCCGCAGAGGTGCCGGTAGGGATGGCGTTTAAGGCCAGGTGTAGCTCTCAGGCTGCTGCAGGTCGGGGAGTCCGGGCTGCCCACTGCCTGTGTGCACCCGCCTCCTGTGGGAAGCATCTCCCTGGGGCTGTCCGAGGCGAATCCTATGGCACCCGATTCCGCGGTGACATGGTCACCTGGAGTGAGGTGGGCTGTGCCACCCCTCGCGCCCTGCGTGGCCCTGTGGTGGTTTTAAGGTTCAGCAAGGGGTGCGGAGGCGGYGGGAGGCTCTGGAGGCTGGGGAGAGCGGCAGTGGTGGCGCTGGCACTGCCAGCCCGGTGCTGACACTCCGATGGAGCGGGAGCTGCGAGCCCAGCCCGTGTAGGCTGGCTCTGCCCCGGGACAAGGAAGCTCCCAGTCCAGTCCCTTGCACAGGTCTGGTTACAAATGTCTGGTTTTGGAAGCAGACATAGATGATCCTGCTTTGCTGACTTACCTCTGTTTTTCACTGGGATTTATACAATCACGCAGGCTAGTCACCCCGTTTGCGGTGACTTGAAATAAAGTAAATTACAGAGGGATGTGTTTTTGCACCATTTCTGTTCACTGCCATAYGGGCTGGATTTAGAACCAACTCTTGTGTGAATTTTGGGGGGGTCACTGCTCTCATTGCCACAACCTAAGGCTAAGGAGCAATAGCTTCTTTATAAAGCTCCAGGAGGAGTGGGCAGAGGGAAAATTCCAGATTCAGGGTGGCTGCTGCTGTCTGCAGGTTGGGGTGGAGGTGGGTCACATTATTTGATTATTTTTTTTTTTCTCTCTCTTTTTTTCTTCTCTCCTGAACACACATACCTGAGTCTCTCTGATTTTAAAAACAGAAGCGGTGCACAGGGGAGGTTACCTAGCCCTGCCTATTTGTGTTGCATGGGTAAATACATTTTTTGCAGTTTGCAGTGTTTAATTTTTGCTTTTTTTTTTTTTTGGCTTTCATTTCATTTTGCTCTTTCTTTGCTCTGCAGCCCTGCTAGTTGAGATTAAGGTGTTCAGAGCTGCTGTTTTGCCTTGACTCGATGGCAGTGCTGCTGTGGGCTGTTGGCCACTCAACATCAACTATATGCATTAGTTAAAAAGCAGTGGGGCAATTTTTGGAGTAAATATTCCACCCCCCCACTCACTTTAGTGAGGTTGCTTTTTTCCCCCCTCATGTTAGCATAGGATACAGCACCGCGTGGAGCAGCTTACAGAAGCAAAGTGCTGCCGATTAGACCTGTGGCAGGGAGATTTAGGAAGAGATCGAGGACAGGCCGYCCTGCCGCAAGCCCCATGTTTCATGAAAAGGCGGTGCGGGGCAGGAATGATTCCGCCGGAGCAGTGGGGCCGCCCGGCCTGCTCGGGGCTGGCCTGGCCTGGCCTCGCATGGCGGCAGCCATGCCGCGCGAGGCCCATGGGTGCCCTGGCGGCTCTCGCCCCTTGGCRTGCGGGTGATCAGCGGGTGATTCAGCAATGAATGGCGCCTGTCCCCTCTCCAGGTCGTGCAAGGGAAATGCGGGAGCAAGGACTGGCTCTGCTCGAGGGCTGACAGCGGGAATGCTCTGAGCTTGGAAACGGGCTGGATGAAACCCTTGGCAGCAGGGCAGCAAGCTGCAAGCAACATGAATGCTTCGCTTCTCCTCTCGCCTGGAAATAGCTCCGTGCACCTGAATTTTTCAGAGAAGAACTCCCCGTTCTTGCAGTTTGAAGATGAAGATTGCCATGTGCCTTTGGCCATGGTCTTCACTTTGGCCTTGGCTTATGGGACTGTGATCATTCTGGGTGTCTCCGGGAATCTGGCCCTGATCATCATTATTCTAAAGCAGAAGGAGATGCGCAACGTTACCAATATCCTCATTGTCAACCTGTCCTTCTCTGATCTTCTGGTGACCATCATGTGTCTTCCCTTTACCTTCGTATACACTCTGATGGACCACTGGATTTTTGGGGAGGCCATGTGCAAGCTGAATCCCTTTGTGCAATGTGCCTCAATCACTGTCTCTGTCTTTTCTCTAGTCCTCATTGCTATCGAGCGCCACCAGCTCATCATCAATCCTCGGGGCTGGAGGCCAAACAACAGACATGCCTACATGGGGATTGCTGCCATATGGATTTTAGCCACAGCTTCCTCTTTGCCTTTCCTCGTTTACCATGTGTTAACAGATGAACCCTTCAGAAACATAACATTTGATGAATATAAAGACAAATATGTGTGTTTGGACCTGTTCCCCTTGGACACTGCAAGGCTTTCTTATACCACAACTCTTTTGGTCATTCAATACTTTGGACCACTTTGTTTTATATTTATTTGCTACTTAAAGGTAAGAGAGAATTTTGATCTGTGTGATCTGTCCTTCTTTCTGTGTGATGTTTGTCCTTGCAAAGTTTGTGTCTGTAGGTTAAATCATCCCACATGTTTCTCTCTGTTGAATTTTCTGCAGATATACATACGATTAAAAAAAAGGAACAACATGATGGACAAGATGAGAGACAATAAGTACAGAACCTCTGAAACCAAAAGGATCAACATCATGCTGATCTCAATAGTTGTTGCGTTTGCAGTTTGCTGGCTGCCTCTCACCATCTTCAACATTGTCTTTGACTGGAATCACGAAATTCTGCCTGTGGCAACCTGCAGCCACAATCTGTTATTCCTGATTTGCCACCTCACAGCCATGATCTCTACCTGTGTGAACCCAATCTTCTATGGGTTTCTCAATAAGAACTTCCAGAGGGACTTGCAGTTTTTATTTCATTTCTGTCACTTGCGCTCCCGTGAGGAGGATTATGAGACTATAGCCATGTCCACCATGCACACAGATGTTTCGAAAACCTCTTTAAAGCAGGCAAGCCCAATTGCTTTCAAAAAAATAAGCAGTGATGACGATGACAAAATATGAAAAAGTAACAATAATCCTACGCCAAACGGTTAGAAGTGTGATTACAAGTGATGTGTGTTCAAGGACAAGCACAATCATGTCACAAGTACAAAATGGATAAAGCTTTTCTTCCTTTTTTCAATGAACTTTGATTGTTGTCACTTTGAAATTATATGCTGTGCATTTTTGCACCTTTTGCTGCTTTAATGTTCACAGCGGTTCTACCTGAATCTTATTACAAGACATAGTTGGACCTGCTGCTACCTAGGGTTTTCATCAGCTATCTTTTGTTCTGTTCTCTTTGTACAGTTATGCACTTTAGCATAAAGATTTATATTGACTTTTTCCCAAAGGAGTATTTTTCAGGAGTGTCCATCTCAGAGCATTAGAAACAATATGGACCACAGAGAAGCTGTTGCTACAGAGGACACCCGTGTGCATAAAATTAGGACGTTCTGAAGAGGCCTTTTGTTTTTTAATCTGTCTTTTGCTCAATGGTAAAATCCTTTAAAATCAGTATAGGCGCATGAAAATAATTCTGTGAAACCTGTAGAATAAGTTAAATGGGGACACGCATTTTTCTCACTCATAGAAACCATTCAGGCTATAATCACTTAAATTCAAAGACAGGATTAGGAGAGAAATTCTGTTCTCATTTACGAGAATAAAAACCTAGAGTAATTCCACAGAGCACAATGGGATTACTCTGATGTTTCACCAGGGTAAATGAAAGCACAAATGGTCTTTTAATCCTAACTGATTGTAGCTCATTTTAATAATCAGGCGTTTTTAGTTAAAAACAAAACAAAAAACACCACCACTAAACCTCATTTTAATCTGTCAGCATTGGAAGGAGTCAATGTTGCTGGGGTAAAATTTACTTTCAGTGCCAAGCCTGTGAACCCCATAAATTCAATTTAAGATTTACGTCAAGAATGCACAGATTGAAACACTCAGAGTGTTTCATGGAGACATGTGGTGGAATTCCCTCCTTGCAGGTGACACCCAAAATCAGGTCTAGATAATAAGATTGACTTTTCCTTCTGAATCTTTTCAAAGTGATTAGTTCCTATTGGTATAAATTATGTATAGCCTTATAGAACTCTGTGTTCAAATGCAATGGTATAAACTTGGATTAGCTCCACGACAATGGATGGTTTAATCAAGATTTGCACAATTTAAAAGGAGGATGTAGTTAATCGGTATATTAGCTTCCAAACGCACAGTTTCCATAGTTGATTGAAAGGTGGAAGTATTTGCCAGATATCCCCAGCAGAGCTCTGTGTTTTATTGCTTAAAATATATATCCTCTAATTACATAAAATATACAGGAGTAGATCCCCAACTGAGGGAAACCCACATAGCTTAACTGCTGCAAATGGAACTACAACAATATTAGCCAGCTGAGGTTCTGTATCATAAAGTGTACTTTGCTATACAATCAATGCCTTGTTGAATAACCAGCTTTTAAAAATACAAGATAGCCTCTATTTTTGCATAGCAAGTTTGCTTCAAATCATTCTGGTAGAGAAGGGGTTCTTTAAAATGGATATACACATAAATGTAGCATAAATGGCAATCATACCTGAGCAAACCGGTCTCGGGATGTGATGGTGAATTTTAAATGCTCCACTTTGGTATTGATAAATGCCTAAGAAAAGAAAATTATTTGATTTGCCAGTATTTAAAAGTCAAAAATTGTGCCTTGTGCAGTCTTATAAATAGTGTAGAATATTAAAGTAGCAATGTGGTGTTGTGTGTTATAATTCCRTGTATTTCTTTATTGGCAGATAATTTACTTAAAGAGAAGTGTGACTGAGAATAAAGAGGGAAAGTATAATACATAAAATGAATTACAAAGAGATAACCTTGTTTCAGAGCTTTGCCCTTCTGTGTTTCATGAGATCTCCCTTTTCTGTGTGTTTCTCTATGGAGCATTTTGCTAATAATTTATTTACAGGCTCCTGAAATTGTTCCCCTATCACTTTATGTTAATTTTCACATACAAAGGAGTGTGCGTTTTCACAAAGAGACATAATACAGAAATCTAGCTTTATTTTTCTGTTAAAAATATCAGTATTCTTTTTCCCACTAGAAAAAAAACACAGATTTTCTTTTGATTAATATTTTCTCTTAAAAAAAAAAATCTTGCAATACAGTAAGAAAAGTTGACAAAATTACTTAAGTACTAGTTAATTTATTGGAAGTGTTTGATTTGGCTGAATTGACTGAATTCAATGTGTATCCAAAGTGGGAAGGCGAGAGCAGATTTAGAGGAATCTACTCGACTAAAACTAGTATGCCCAAGAGGTTTTCAGCAGGACAGCAGTATTATCCCTACACTGACCTTGCTCTTGCTAGAGATACTGGTCCCACATCATGTAACTCCTCTGTTTTCGACTGATACCATCTCAGGCTACCTGCCGGGGAACGTGTAAATTGGATGGTATTCACCACCATCAGATGGTTTGCACTTTGTAGGTGCAAACTGGAGTATTCCTTAGGCCACATTAATGTGGGAGCTCCGGCAGGACTGAGGCCTTTGCCTGTGTCTGCCCACTTCCCTGCAGGAAGCAGCACACGAGGCTGCTTCCAGCCTTTGCTGAGGACACAGTCACACAAATAGCAGCGCTTACGCTGCCTGAAATGACGGTGGGAAGTGGACACGGTGTAAAGCAGGGATGTGTTCAGCAGGAAAATGAGTTTGGAGCGTCTCAAAAGCTAAACCATTGCTCTTCCGAGGAATTTTTATGAGGACAGAGATAAAAGTAGTCTCTCTGAGGGGCTGACCTGACATCTGCAGGGCGTAGATGACATCTATGGAGAGCAGTATTTTTGTCTTTGYTTTCATGACTTGACACTGGAATCCTCAACCCCCCTGAGGACTTTCCCCACCGGATGCCTGGCTGCAACACTAATCTTCTTTTTCACCTTCAGATCTCCAGTGCAGCTTCTCATCCTGCACACGTGGAATTTCTTTATAGGCTGTTGGATTTCATGTTTCTTGTTCATTTCTCAGTCATTCTGATTTGATGTTTGTTCTTCCTACGTGATGTTTTGTCAAACTCTCCCCASTTTGGAACATGCTGATTCCTATCTCAAAAGCCTGTAAATTCTCTTAGTCTTTCAGATGTGTAGAACAGTTTTACTGAAAGAAAAAAAAAAGTAGCAAGGGATTTATAATGTATCTTTACTATTTATTTATGTGCAATACAGTTAATGTCAAATCTGCAGCATTAAATGAGAAATATGACTACTTAATAAACATTAATATCAGATTCATTTGTCAGTTATTTTATCATCTGAAACTTAACCTTTATCCACCACAGACATTTAACAACCCTGCACAATCATAATACACYTGCATCTTTATATGGCCTCTTAAACATTTCTGTACCCCGATATTGCTCTTTCAGCATCTCTCTTGTTTGTGTCATTGTTATTGTGTGCTGTAATCCACGACTTTCATGTCTTTATAAAAAAAGAGGATATCTGGAAAGGAGGCGAATAATTGAATCATACCTAGTTTTGATAGACAAAGGAAAGGTGGGTAGGGAAAATAAACCTGTTTTTGCCAGCTCCTACTTCAGCCATAAAAATTAAGTTTAAAACAGGAAAAGGAATCAACATGACTGGACCTCTAAGTCACTCGAGCTTCTGTTGACTGCAATAAAGTAAGATCCATTAATAATGGATCTTAAAAGCAAAATTAGATAGTAGTTTATATTCAGACTCTAAATGAGCACATACTTGCATCTGGCATTTGTTTATCAAATTCTGATTCTGACCTCAGGAAAATGATGAATGAGACTAAAGAATTTACTTAAAATTAATCATTCACCACAAAATCTGTTGAAGAAAAGCTAGCTTCTGGCTTGGGAACTCACATGCTTTCCYTAAAATCATATTTTGGATTTCAGCTCATTATAGGAGCAAATTAGTAGCCTATGACTTTTCTCAAGATTTTGCTATGAAGTCTAGGGCCTGAATATTTTAAGGGTTTGGTTCAGATATTCCTAATTCCTTGGATCACAGATCTTAGCTTAACCACTGTATAGAGAATGCAGATTTTATTTTGTTTTTAACATGTGTGCTTTTAAAGCATATCTAACACTTGGAGACAAGGGCTTAAATAATATCTGTGACTGCTACAGATTAAATTAATTCAGTTGAGTAGAAAGGGTGGGGAAATGTGTAATAATCAAATTACCAGTTGGCAGCCCTTTCTCAAGTGAAAGATATATACAGCTTATAGTTCTATCATGTCTTCTTCATTCCTCTTCATGCTGTTTAAGAGGAGTATTCCTTTTGAGGTGAAAGCATAAATATCTGAGTCATTACTAAAGATTGTGTCAAAGCAAGTTATTTTCTTCCACCCATCTTTTTGGGGAATTTCAATATCACTCCTCAATATTTGAGGATGACATTTCRGAGAGGCAAAAATGACCACAGCTAACCTCTTATAATCTAATTTACCCATGGTCAAAAATAATATTTTTCAATATTTTTTGTGTGTACAAAACAGCATTAGTAGCCTAATTGAGTTGATATTTTGAAGGTTTGGGAGAGAATTCACAAAGGCTAACTTTATCCAGAGGCTGGTAATTTTCCTAATRTCCTCCGATAGCAACTCTAGGGCATCCACTGCCTTGTTACAGGCTCTACACCCACTGAGACGCCTTTCTCTATTACCTATACATGGAGTTAAGCGGAGAAGAGCTTCCAGGGCTAATGTTAGGCCTAGCAAATATGGACTCCCATCCTCCAAGCTGTGTGCTGTTCAAGCTATCTGTTTGTATTTCATAAAATTAAGCTTCATAAATTCATACTTCATAGGAATGTGTTTCTGAAGAAATCCCAAGAATTTGTATTTTAATAATTTAATTCTAATAATTTAATACATTAATATTTGCACTAAAATTCTTTTCTAAGAAGGCACATTTCTAATTATTCACACTCCATATAAATACAAAGTTTACAAAGTTCATGTAGATGGGAATTATATCCATGCAAAATATCCATCTTACTACAGAACTGGCAGCACACTCTGTCCTATGTTTTCCAAAGACGTATGCAGAAGATCTGATCATCTGATAGATCAGATTTAGTCTCAAAATCTGTGCCAGGTGCAAAGGTGTTTAAGGTTGCAGCACAGGGGTGGCTCTCCAGTGTCACCTAATTTGCTACAACTCCTGCCAACTTTCAGGTAAATAGTTATCTCTTACACACAGTTTGGAGAACAGCAAAAAAGCAGAAATTCTAGGTGAAGCCTTGATACAGTCAAAAGGATTTAAAGATGAATTTAGACATTTATTCATGGCTGAGACCAACAGATAGACATATAAATGGCTTTAGGGCAAAACAGTGGTCAGATGGTGATATGTAAATACCATGTTTTCTAGTTCTGTTTCCCTCTGAAAGCCAATTTTAAGATTTTTCACCTCAGATATATCTAGATTT